CAAGAATGAGAATATGGTAGATTTGAGTGAAGGAATACCTATGAGATGGCGTCTTGCAGAATTTCTGATAACTTTCTGGGTTCGACGTCACATAATTTCTGCTCAATTTGATGGTGGAACATGCGGTTTTTTCACGTTACGATTCATCATGACGATGAATATCGATCAATGGCTGCAAGGGTGATTATTAATTTTAACAGCTGGACTACATGGGATACATATCTCCAACTTCTGTTGGTTGAGCTAACTTGATCGATTAGTGTAAAACCCAACTATCCTGGCGTGGGTTATGCTCTCCCTGTTGCTAACACATTGCTGGTCAAATCGCGTTCTTATTAAAACAATCCGCCCGCTAGCGCTTGTTTGAATCTACCCCAGTCATTACCGCGAATTTCAGTTCTAATAATATGGTAATTAATGATAGGTAAGGTTTGATAAATTTAACGGCCGCATTTGTGTTTGGATTCCAGGTAGCTGTATTATTTCTAGGTAGAGGGACAGATGCACCTTCATACACCCCTTTCCCACACAAAAGGGTGTACACAGGTGGAACGGGAAGCGCCTATTTAAAAGTCAAGACTTTTATCATTTGAACATGAGAATAGTGCAACTCACAACTAACTTTCAAAAGCGTTACCTTAAGAAAACACACTGTAGGCTAATTTGACCTTGAAATTGAAAGCTGTCAACAAAGTATCTTGCAATGCATGAAAAGTTGAAAGCAACCAATCAGTGAAGTGTTTTTCGTGTACGAACAAACTATTGAAATGGTTGTTTAAACGAGTTAGCAATAAGTTTGTGTTTGTGAAAGTGTCAACGGTTTGTAAAGCGGCAAGCGGGCCCAATAGTGAACCATTATGAGAAACAATTGTCATTCTGAAATATCTCGAATTATTGCGTGACCATTTGGTGTGATGTGAAACCGGCGTCCTCTGACTTGGCGACTAGCTTTTGATCGATGCAGCTGAAGGTCTGTGGGTCGGCAGAGAGTTGGTGATTAGCTTGGAGCTAATTCACAGTCCTGTTGGAACAAATACTTCTTGAATCCATGCCTCGTCGGGGTCACCGTAGTGACCCCCTCGTTGCGGTCAGTGATGCGTCCACCGAATTGAAATTCGCTGCGAAGGTAGCACACGCACTTCCGATCGATCGCCTGACAAAAACGCTAGCACTCATTGGTTCGTTTGGCCTCTTGAGTAATGCTCAGTTCTAAAGCTTTGGGTTGAGTATGCAAAATTATCATTTAACCACTCCACCATCACACTGACGTCCATCATTTAACATGTTCTCTTGTCACACGCTGTGAATCCCACGCAAGCCACAAAAGTTCTTTCCTTCTTGTCATGCTGATTGGTAAGCGCAATCACATTAGAATGCAGAATAAATTATATGGATTTTTGAATTTCTCAGGCATCGATCGACCGAACAGGATTCAAAGATGATCCAGCTTTGAATGACAAGGTCATCGTGTTAATCAACGAACCAAAGGAGGTCTGGATGTGAGTAGCTGTGCCATAAACTAACTTGAGTTAACAAGAAATCCTAATTGGAACCCCCTCTAGCTCCCTGGGAAGACATAAGGCCTGTAATCACGGTGAATCCTACAAATAGCCACTTACTCTGGTATTGATTTGCTTGCGCTGCCAAGTGTCTAGAGATTTCAAGGTCACCTGCTGTCTACTGATTGTAGGCTGTCAGAATAAGTGTAATTAGCTCGAGATTGCTTAGTCGGCCGTTAAAACTCCTCCCTTTTGTTCTAGTTATTTACTAAGCACGCGCGACTCCAGTGTCCCATTTTATACACTTGGTGAACGTTTGGGTTTAAGCAGACGTCATTCAGCCTAATGGATTTTCGTGAAGACAGAAGGCGTTGAATAGGGTGCCTGGACGAGAGATGACGATTTGATATGGCCTGGGATATGCTTGTGTTACGTTTGCCTACTCACCTACTCAGATAGCGGTACCGGATGCCTCGTTGACGCTAGAACCGACCTTCCCAAGCTAGTACAAGAACAAGACCAGAGCTCGTGGAAGGAGCTTTAATCACGTCAGCCACGCGTCAAAAGTGAACACTAATTCAAGTCAAGTTTGACCTTGACCTGATAAATAGCCGTAACACAACAGGTGTCAGAGAATTGATGTAAGTAATGACAGCAATCGGCGAAGAGCAATCTCGGAGAATCCTGGATCCCCAACACCTTGACACCTCGACTTGACTGCTCGCAGTATGTCCGGAGGTGTGAACTTCGACACAGCCGTCTAAGAAGCTGTCTGACGTCGATTCACTAACGTAGTCGTCTTCCTGCTGTAGTGATTTGGCTATCATGTCAATTGATAACAAATCGCCTCCTTCACCATGAAGTGAATAACATAAGCACGCAGTATTCGTTACCCGGTTACCGTCACATCATCCTTCGATGCATTTCACTCAACCAGCACCCTCTACGACTCAAGTGACCTTGTGGAAATGTAATCACACCGTTATTGAATCTATCGGTGCCTTGCACTCACTGCTTCCTCCGAGTTGCTATCGTAAAAGTATTAAGTTGCGGTGTGGTAAGCGTGAACTTCTTCAGATGCAAGCTTGTGATTAAGTGGTCGAAATTTGGAATGTTTGTGGAGCATGAGTGTTTGAAGATGCGTTGAGGCACACAGCGAACACGATGCTCAGTTTTGTGTCGGTGGAAACGTGTGTAGAAGGCGTTGACGCGTGGTCCTGTTCCATACCAGCGACACAGCCTAGAATTTAGCCCGTTTACGCTGATCCGATACCTAAGAAGACAGGTAGAAGACTAAAGATGATAGAAACACGACCGTTTAGTAAACAGCTCAACACAGTTGAGAGGTGTGCCCATTGTGGGTGAACTAGTTAGCGTACCAATAACTGAATGATCAGAATAGTTAAACGGGTAGCGGTATAGGTACACAAACCTGCGTGTGGGAAGGCAAAGTGTCGCAGACTGCTGCAATCAGATTAATGGATGTTAATCAATGCGATTCGCAGCAGGAACGGTGTTCTAACAATGCTCCAACGTCTACATTCTTGCGTATGTATTTTTTGCGTAAATATTTGCTTACTGACGCACATTTCTACACACCAGACCAAAACGAGTCTTGTTGAAAAACAAACGGCTGTGTGTGCGTGTGTATGTCGTCATTCTACCAACTCTCACTTGTTCTCAGACTCTATTGGAGCCATAAAACAATGGGATATTGAAAGGTGTCTTCCCAGATTGTTACATTTTAAATAAGCTATTTTTGGCGAACACACTCACGCGTCCTGTCGCAGCATTTGGTAATAAAGCTTTTCAAATTGGTGATATGAAACCTTTACTCTGTGTCTGTAAATGAAGTGTTCCAGAAAATTCTGCCTTTTCTCAATTTTTGCGATTGTTCTTGTCTTTAAATCTCAAATCACATCTCACTCACGGTTATTCTTTAGGTCAAAATTGAGTGAGAATTGAAAACAGCCAAACTGCGCCGTTTTGTGAGTTTGCTAGCAGTTGTGTGGACGATCGATTAATCGATAGCTCAATAGGCGACTGCTGTTGGCCGAGACAGCTGATGTGAACACATCTCATCAGCGGCCGATTTGACTAACTTGCTCTCTTCCGAAATCGGCACCTGTGTGTTCTTATTTAGGATAGAAAATCGCGGACAGAGGGGTAGAATTAGCTATAAATTTAACCGCCTAGAATCGACAAGCTCGTCACTCAAAGATCTTCCAGTAGCTGGTAAATAATCGTCTGTTTGTAACTTCGAAGCCATTCAAGCTGTTGAGGGCGCTTTTGCGCGTGGACGACGAGGCCAGCTTCATAAGAAATTGTTGTACAATGTCAAACAGAGGCACACCATGCACTGAATGAAAATGGAACGCGCTTCGTGATTTTATAGATCACAACCTCGTTCACATGATCTTGTACCGCTGCGCTACCTTTTAAATGTTCTAAAAAAATCGAGGACCATCTTGTGTCGTCATGTTTGCTGCTGCGCTCCACTCGCGTTCTATGACGCTTGATTTAATTACGTGTGATTTGAATATTAGCTACTTTAACCTGTTCCACCAACGCCACTTTGTTGGGGATCCACGATTCCCCAAGATTGGTTTCTGATTCTATTTACATTAATTTATTAACATTTGTTTTGTTACGCTTTTATCAAGTCAAGGTCAAACTTGACTTGAATGACTTTCGATTTCGCTTCTCCTCTGCACGTGGCTGACGTGAATAAAGCTCTCTACTCGAGCTCTGGTCTTGTTCTTGAATGAGCCTGGGAAGATCGGTTCTAGCTGTCAGCAAGGGATCTGGTACCGTTATTTGAGGGGTTTTCTCTATTGTTACGGGCAAACGTAACACACTTAACTTTCGCGTTCCTTTGGTCTACTTTGCATTAATCTAGCGAAGAAATCTAACAATTAATCAAGTTACGTCCATACTCCGTGTCAGTGTTAGTTGCATCAACAGGTTGACGCGTCGTACGCGATTTATCAAAATGTTCTTGCGTCAGTGCTCGACACATTTGCTGCTCGCGCCATCTTCTTGTTGATGAGGACACGTGGGGAGTTACGGTTGTCGGAAGAGACATCCACGTCGGCAGGTTTTTAGGCAACCTACGGATGATCGCGAGTAGATATCGCATTAAAGTCACGGTTTCGCAGAATGCGTCGTGCTAATACTTTTGGAATAAGATGCACTGTGGCTTCCACCATCTCTACTTCTAACCAACGCAAGCCATCAGCGGTTCAGTTGGGGTCGCAACCACGGGAAGCCTTGCAAATTTGATTGAGGTTTCATCACGGAAACATAACAAGACTCTTCCGTTTTGCCTCGCATCTCCAACCACTAACATCGCACGTGACCACCATTGTGATTCTGGGCACACCTACAGGAAGCAGAAAAGAAAGCAGGAGAGAAATGCGTGCGTGCGGACGTGCCTGACCAAAGTGCAAGATGCGCAGATGACAACAACATCAACAACAACAACAGCAGGCAGACACTCACGCTGGACTTCAAGTTCTTCTTCGCGAACTCAATCTCGTTAATGTGGCTTCGCATAAACTCCATGGAGGCACTGTAGTCGGCCTGATTGAACGCGCACGGAATCGACCAGCCAACCGGCGTGTACTTCCGGCGTTCTTCCAGCGTCCTGTGCAGAAACGCCACAGCGTAGAGAACCACTCTCCACTGGGTGCTGACGCAGGCGTCGAGGAAGTCCTGCGAGACGTCGGAGAAGGTCTTCGCAAGTCCAGAACGCAGCCCCTCGGGAGGCTGGTTCGTGGATTTCACCGAAGTCTGCAAGAAGTTCATGTCTTTGCTGTCGAATCAGCATAGGTTCGTCATGACAACAGTCTGCATTCACAAGATGCGCCACATTCGGGTGAGCACGACTGTGAGAAAAAGCATGTGAGTTCATGGTTAAGGTGCCTCGATTTACGCTAATCTGATTGGCCACCGTCTAATCATTAGCCCGAATTTGGATTGGTCAAAATAGGACAACTGTTAGTAAGTTTGTGTAAAATCACAGCCATGACTCGAGTACCTGCCAAAAGTGCATTTTTAAAGTGCTGATTGATTTAAATGCTTCCAGCCAACGGGTAACATTCATTCTGGTAGCCAATGAACAGAGGGCTTTTCTGATAAAAAGCGCAATCCACGTATTCTGCTCTGCACAGACGTGGGGCAGATACACTGGTACAGTCGACACCAGCCTTATATGGACAATCGTTCTACCACTTCGTCTGGAAATGTGACATCGAACTTTGAAAAGGTTCCAAGGTCCATCTCATCCGTGGAAGACCTTACTCTTCCAAATCGACAAGGTTTTCTTCAACAAATACATGTTCCAGTGTCTCGACAATGTACCTCTTGGCCTCTCGGACAACGCGGTCTGGACACCAAGTACGAATGAGGATGCGACGCTGGAAGTGCGAGACGTCCACTTCCTCATCTGTGGCTTCCTTGTCGTAGCATCAGCGCCAGCGATTGGTTGAAACAAGTCTCCTGGTGGGGCGGAAAACCAGTAAAAAGCTTTCTTGTCTGGATGGTGGAATCCTTCTTTACCGAAGCTGCGGAATTCCAATTGCTTCCACCACTTCCAGTCAGAGATCTAGATAATTCCACTCAAGAAACGGGTTATCTTTTCACTTAATCACCAAAACCATCCCAGAAACGCATTAGCTGGCTTGCTTTTTCACCTCAACAAGTCAATTTTTTTCCAGCATCCATTAGGACCAATTCTACTTTAACTTTAAAAAAGTACTGGACATGGGATTGCGTTCCACGCCAAACAATCCTATAAATAGCTCGGCTTATTATCAAGTCCGTGTAAAAATGTGCTTGAGGCGTCGACAAGTCACTCTGTAGCCGCGTGAATTCACGTTTGACCTGCTCGAAATTCTCGCACGCTATTGGTTGACTGAGCGCTGTGTTGCTTATGCTACTCTGATTAACTGCTACGTCAATTTTTTACCTATTAATGACGTTAATATTAATCTTTGACAGTAGAATTCTACTCTCATTTACAGATAGACATTTATTTCATGTTTGATTTACACGGCAGTGATATCTGACCTTGAACAAGCCCCTAGAAAGTGACTTTATTTCGGGGAAGTGATATAAATGTTTTACTGTGAGTAGATGGTCTGAAAAGCCTATGTATTACTGCTGGGATTTCAGCAGCCACATAAATACAACGCTGCCACCTCAATTTACTCATTGATGTGTTCATGTCTCTGATCGTAGACATCTCTTCAAAATTTGGCCCAACCTCATGGTGCGCCACCACCTAATCAATCCACGTAATTGGTAGTAATTATAGACGGAAATTTCTACCAATCAGTGAGTCGACAGCATTGCCGTACCTGCTTGTGTTGATAGTGAACACCTGGTACTCACAGTCGTAGGCGGACAGTCGGAGAATCGTTCCCTTGCCGCAGCCGCCGGACCCGACCATGAGGATGTTGCCGCGGTCCGAGCGAAGCGCACGACACGCGCGCACAACGTGCTCGATCGCCTCGTTGAACAGGACCATGCGCAGAGGTACCTTGCGGTTGTCCAGATTCATGGCTTCCAGGTAATGCTCCAGGCGTTCTCGCAGAGCATTGATGTCGTACACCTGGAGGAGGAGGAGGATGAAAAGGAGAAGGAGGAGAATGAGGAGGAGGAGGATGAGGCGAAGGAGAAGGGAGAAGACGAGAAGAAGAAGAAGAAGAAGGCGGAGGTGGAGGTGGAGGAAGAAGAAAAGGAGGAGAAGATGAGGGGGAAAGGGAAGAGTAGGAGGAGAAGGAGGATGAGTAGGAGGAAGAGGAGGAGAAGGAGGGGAAAGAAGAAAAGGAGGAGGAAGAAAAAGAGGAGGGGAAAGAGGAGGAAAAGAAAGAGAATGTGAAGGAGGAGGATGAGGGGGAGAAGCAGTAGTAGGAGGGGGAGGAGAAAAAGAGGCAGAGTCTTAACTAGCAATTGGCTTTGTGACCACCGATGTGTCTGCGTCTATGATGATGCGTAGTTGGTTTGTCAATCAGTCTAAGCTTAGAGTCGTAACTTGTGGTCACACCGACTCATGCAACTTCGTTGACATGTAGGCTGCAGCTTCATCAACCAGCCAATCCACAGTCTTCTTGATGTCCCTGTAGAGAAGACGGACATTGCCAGACAATTTGTCATGCTACCTTCTTCACACAACCAGCACCTTCCTGTTTGCGCTTTTACGCAAGTTTCATGTAATATTGTAGCTGGAAAAGGTCAATTTCTGCGTTTCGCGAGGCCGGAAATCACCTTTTTATACTGTCAATTAAACTGGAGATTGATTTTATAATTGATAGTGATCGTGCCATAGTAGTGCGACCACACAGAATTCAGTTTTCTCGAAGTGCCAATATTGTCTAAAACGCCGTTACTACTTATATGGAATTAGGCACAGTCATCGCAAAATTTTGGCTATTTTTAGTATTTTTCACCTGATGCTGGAGACATTTTTAAGTCACTCAAAGCCACTATCTTGGATCTGTTCATTTCCCTGAAATTGACAGTCTTATAAATTTGTTTAAAGATAACACAACTGAAAACAAATGTGGATAAGGCAAGATCAGGGGAAATGGTTAAACCCCTGAAGTTTTAGTTTATTCTCTGTTGAGTGCATTCAAATGACGATATTCAGATGAACTGTCAACATTTTTACTCTCAGCAACCTCGTCAGTGGTTATCCGCAAATTTCAACGGTTTGCCAAATCACGTAGAACGTCGTAATCTACGTGCCGATAGAAGCCGCCATATTCAAGTCGACTAAACCAGCAGCTGATCGCTTGCCCTAAGAGCCTGACGGTTTATAAGTGTGCGTGACCGGGAATATCGATTTTTATTCGAAATCGATAGTCAGCGACATCAGATCAACTCGTGCACGAGCTTTGCTCACGCTTGTTCGCTGACAGTGCACCACAATATTTGCGGGGCTGATGTAGGCAGCAGCCATATTGGATCACGATTTGAATGTACTCCAATTAGGACAATCGGCCAATCAGGGACAACGATGAGTCACTAGTCAACGACATCAAATTAAATCGTGAACAAACATCACTCAGGCTCGTTCTCTGGCAGACCACCACAAACCAACTGGTTCTAAGAGCAGAATTATCATCCAGAAACACCTTCCACGCCAGTAATTTTGAGCATCCACCCAACCAAAGTTAAAATAATCAGCCACTTGCAAAAACCACAAGTGCGTTGACACCCAAAACTCACCTCCGCGTTTTTCTGTGTGTTATCAGAGATGCTTGAGAACCCACGGCCCCGCCCGTTGGTGGCTTTTTTGTGGGTGGCAACTAACGCCTGTTCTAATCTCATCATCATCATCTTCTTCTTCAACATTTTGGCGTGTTTGTTGCGTCTCCACGTAGTTGGTTTGAAGGTGGTTGAAACATCTGCGCAAGCCTCTCGATGTTAGGAAACTTGGAATTTGGGGGAAGGGTGAGGTACTGACTTGACGTGGGGTTCGTGTTTAACGTCATATATATATGGTTGATTTTACATATAAGTAGTACTTATTCACTAAGTCCGTCCACAAATGTGTCGAACAAGCGCGTGGTGATGGTGTCTTAGTGGTTTTTTGTGAAAAATCATCCACATATCCCTACTTCTGGTCACTGCTTATGCATTCTGAGGTAAATATTTGTAAATACTTTAATGAGAAACACAAAAATTGATAAAACCGGTACTAATTAGGATTCCAACATTTGTCGGACCATCGGGAATGCATTGAGAGAGCCCCTACAGATCCTGTTGGCGTTGAATGTCAATGTCTTCTGACGGGTCGTAGCTGTAGTCGCTGAAATCCATCATCAGATCGTAGAGGTCATTGATGGAGAATCCCGCGTCCTCTTGCGAAGTCTTCTTGGAGCCTTCGGGCTCACGACGGTTTACTTGCTCCTCACTCTTGGTTTCGCAGCCACTGATGTCGTCACTGGTGCATTCTGGTGAATTCGCGATGCTGCTGCTGATGATGATGACGATGATGACTATGCACAGTCGTGTGTGTTGGCAACACTGAAGCATCCTTACAAGTGGAGCCCGCGACACCGTGTGTGCTTGACTGTCGTTGAGAGTTTGGTGTCGAGTGGCGAATCAGCCAATCGATTTTACCCATAACGACTTGAGCACACACACCTGCTAACCAATAGACACCGGGTTGTAGGCTGTTTTCTGGAAATTGTCTGCACCAAGACGAGGTCTTCATGCGTCAACGGTACTTCACCGTTCCTTGATCCATTGAAGGGTTAGACGGAGCACTTTAACTTCTCCATATTAATTAACTAAAGAGTATTATAGTTCTGGCGCAGAAATCAATGCTGAATTCTACAGAAAATCCTGAGAACTGGCTTGTATACGATGGTAATAAATGAAAGTCCACCGCCTTTTGATTAATTCTGTTCTGTATAGTATGTCTTTGGTCTTTAAATTTCTTCGCCGAAACTAGACGAACGTAGCTCGGGTGCGTAAATCTAAGTCAAGCTCTCCGAATTTGCTTCAGCTATTGATTACATTTAAGTAATATCGCTTCAAAACCATTTGACTCACTTGCCAGATTTTAATAATTGCAGCACTTACCACGTGAAAACGCATGGGCGGACCATAGTTCTAATTTTTTTTTCACATACTTGCCTGCCATGCCCAGCAAAATAGCGTTTTTTCTGGGGTATAATTGTTCTCTTAACTGATTAATAAAATCGTGTATAATTTGTCTCCGTTAACTGAAAAGAAGCTGACCGCATCATACAAACGAGACGTTATTAGGGTTGGTGGATTGTCTTGAGTCCGAAAAATATCGATTAAAATTTCATATGTCGTTATCATTGATTGGTTGAAACCAGCCAATCAAAGGAGTCTCTCGGGGATGCCTCGTTGAACTTAAAAATACGCCTTCCTGATTGGCAGTTGTGTCACCTACGCTTACAAATAACATTGTGGCGAATTAATCGGGTTTGTAAAAGCTGTATAACCCTTCGTATTGTCGCGTTTGGTGAACGATTTCACCAGGTCTCTTAGTCACACAGATTTTTCGTTGTTAAGAAGTCGATTTCTGAGAAACATCTTGAGCTTTAGTCAACATGAGTTGCCTTCTTGGTCGGTCTGGCCATGTCCGCCTCCTGGATTACCTGAAGCAGCACAAAACACGGAACAATCAGCAATACTACTTATTACCGGTCTATCATCGACCAAACACCATTGGTGGCCACTTGGTTACAAGCCACTAAAAATACGAGCAGCATCGGTGGACTGTCTACTTGCTTTATATAAGTGCTATACCCGTTCCAAAATATTTGTTGGGGCTTCTTAGCATATGATAATCTCTTTCCCAAAACCTACCCTCCAGGGAATCGAGGTAGTCGTTGAGCGCCGTAATGAGTCTTTTCTTCGTCCATCGGTCGTTGAATTGGACTCGCTGAAGACTCTTGACGAGTGGAAATGACTAAGGTAACCGTGAGAACATGACACTGTTATTTAGTCGGAATCCGAGCCTACGTGTGTGTACTTTATCTAAATATCATGGTGATTCGCCACTTGGCTAATTCCGATTTAAAAACGCCTACTATAAATTGTCAGTAGCAGTGGAAATTTGAGTGCAGAAAGACGTGAATTGTGGATGGTGCCGCTGATCAAAGCTTATCGGTCTTAGTGACTGTGATTTTTCAGCAAAATCGAAATCAACATTTTCCAATCGTCAAAACCACCCTTTCATTTCATCCGCGCATATAAAGCATAACCAGCGTTTGTGTTCCACTGCTATTCCATCGAAAAACTCAATTTAACGAACAACATTCACACCTGCTTACATTCCATCTAAATCCACATCTAAACACGCCTCAACGTATGGCTGGGCATGTCAGTTGCCACCTAGCCAATGAACTTTCGACTTTGCAGCGTCCTTTACCATCTCTATTCCTCCTCCTCCTCCTTTCTGGTGAACGTTGGTCGTGTCGTCGTCTATGCAGTCTCTTGTTACAGAGGTGGGTTCGAGCCTTATGATAGACGTTTCCAATGACGAATCTCACTAATCTGACCTCTGATCTCTGATTGGCTATTGCGTTACATTACAAGCAGTAAGCTAAAACTCATTTAAATGCAATTTTTGTGGTAAAAAGAAGTTGGAAGGTTGGAAGGTTTGTTAATGGAAGGTTTTAGGCTACCTACCTTCTACCTTCTACCTATTCCATATGCTAACTTCACATTCTGATGAGCCAATCAAATCGAAGCCCTTTGTGAAAGACGTTTGGCTATTAATGAAACACATCTCAATTTCGGTTCTTTGTACAATTTTCCTAGTAACAATCACTGAAATTAAATATATATTTTTGGAGTTGTAGGTTGAGCTTGCAGCTCCCTCGCCAAATGGTCAATTCGTGTAACGCTCGCCAAGCCAGCAAAACAAGAGGAATGGCTGGTTACGACCTTCATTGTTGCAGTTAAACTTTTGATGGCAGAGCCCAACTCCTGTCAAGGGCGTGCTTGAAAGTTTGAAGGTTAAATTCACAGGCACAATTGGCAAAGTTAAAAGTGCACTCATGCACTGTTTGTACTAATAAATTAAAAACTGTGCTCTCGCAAAAGTGGCTGGTAAGTGGGTCTCAGCACTTGTACTCCCCACACCACCACCACCGCCACCACCGACAACAACTTAACTCTCGCGTAAACACCGGCGGCTACCACTGAGTGAACTTTGTTCGAGTGCAAACGCGTCAGATTCGCTGACTGGACTGCCACATCTGACACCACCGCCGCCACCGCCATCGCATGGCTTCGACTGCGCGCAGGTGCGAGTTGGCAGACTGTCTGCTATCGATTTAAAGGTCCTCTGTTTCGTCCTCTACATCAAAGCGCAACGAGAGCACATCCCGATTGATATCGGCGTCTAGTCACTCTGCGTCAAACGCAATGACAAATATTCAAAAAAAAATCGATACTTGAATGGCGAAGCTGAAGTCGCAGCCAATCGATTTTATTACGAGCAGCGTGCGTTTGTTAGGCATTTGAACACGCCTCGTGCGTGAGCATTGATCGCAGCACGAAAACTAGTAAAAAATGCATTCAACAAAACGTTAACTCCAAGATGAATCCAAATTTCGGCCTTGTTAAATGCCATTTAATTCCCTACAAAGACGGCGGTCTAGACGCGAACAGCTGTTCCGATCTGTTAGGTCTCTTTGGCTGAGCAGCACAACACAGAGGCCACCCAGGCGTTGGTAAAAGGCTCTCCGATTAACCAGTCTGTCTACATTCATTTATATACTTAAAATCACCGTTGTGCTAACCCGACTCCTGACTACTAGGTTCATTCGATGCACAAAATGCAGTCCAAACATCTCCTCTCTTTATTGGTTAACTCAAGGTCGGATATCACTGCTGGTATCGACCTGACCTTGAGTTGACCAATAGGGAACGCGTTCAAATGAACCATTCCACAAAGCGGGACAGCCTAAATATCAATCAAGAGAATCGATTTTTGTGTATTTTACGCAAGGTTTTACTTTACTACACCGCCAGTTTTTAAGGCATCCGTTTTCACACCTCTGCAGTACCCTCATCGTGATCTCTACCCGTGTAAAATGAGTCATTTAGTGTGCCACGAAAGGATCATGGCACATGCGGGCACCAGAGGCACACAGATGAACGAGTTCACGTCGACTAGAAGGATCGGCGTGTGGCGAATTGTCAACTTGCAAGTCTCAGAGCTGAAATGCGGCTTTACGGTGGCAAAATCAATAGGTGGCATTTGAGCTGAATTTACCACTCGTTTCTGGCCATTCTACTGGGCAATCGATAGAAATTGGTGGGGAGCATAGTTGGTGTGACGACTCTCCAAACCAATGTCGTTTTCTGCACATCCGCGTGTATCACGCATCAAGTTCTGCCTGCTACCGCACGTGTTTTGACTGCAATATTCGGCTCAGTGTTTTTCACACCGAACTAATTTTACCGATAACCCGACCAATGCTGATGTTTTATGCAATTTGCACACACTGACACCCACGTGGAAGACAAGCAATTAACCCTTCGCGTGACCACTCTCTCTGTGCACATAACTGATCCTTCGGAATTTGACCTGATCTCCCGACAACAACATCATTATAGCGATAGAAAATGCTGTTTACCGAAGTAGGTCTTTCTTGGGACATAAGTAAAACCGATTACCATCAACTCACAGGTGACACGGACTCGAACCAGGTTCAAATAACTACGGAAGCCCCTCTTAGCCAGCTTCCAGGCGGTTAATTTGCCAATAAAGAAGGCGATGAGACAAAAAGCAGTCATTACAGCGTTTTCTATGGTTATATCTACGATTGACTTTTGTACACGTCACAAGGAGGCAGTGACAGGGGCAACCTAGGGGACGGTTTGTGTGGCTGAGGCGTTGGCAACGCGGACGCGCAGCATCCCCGTGCCTTGGCGGCCCTCCAATGGGCTTTAAGTCCGTTCGGCGAGACGTACTTCCGCTGACACCCCGGACACCCGAAGGGTCTCTCGGCGTTGGCATGGAGGCCACGGTGGAGTTTGAGGTGGACGAACTGCGTGAACCTGGCGGGACAGAGCTTGCACACGAAGGGCTTCTCCCCGCTGTGCAGCCTCAGGTGGGTCTTGAGGTTGCTGGTGCTGGAGAAGCGTTTGCGGCAGACCTGACACTCGTGGGGCCGCTCTCCGGTGTGCACTAGATGGTGTTTCTGAAGGTGCGCCAGCTGGGTGAAGCCCTTGCCACACGTGGCGCAGGTGAAGGGCCTCTCGCCGGTGTGGACGCGAAGGTGCACCTTGAGGTTCGAGAGTTGACCGAAGGACTTTTGGCAGATGGTGCACTCGTAGTTCATGCGACCCTCTCGTCGCTTGTGCAGTGCCCGTAGCGGTGGGAATTGGAGTGGAAGCTGACTGGACGGTGGTAGGGGGGCGGCGGTGAGGGGTGGTGGTGGTGGCGGTGGTGGGAAGCAGAGGGAGGTGTGGAGAGCAAGAAGATTTCGGAACCAAAACTCGAAGCTCGACGCCGGGGGACACGGACTTGGTGCGGGTGGTGGTGAGTCCGCGAGTAATCGATCGATTGAGTGAGGGAGATCAGACTGTGACCTTGGCGGAGATGGCGCACACCCGTTGTTTTTCGGCATGAAGACCGGCCACTCATCAACCTACGAAAATGCGCAACATTGAGAACTAGTAAGTTTAAAATTTGCATTTATGTGTTTCTGTTACGGATTGAAACAGCAGATCTGGATTGGCAGAGTTTATTTGTCACACGAAAAACACTCCGATTGTTGAAGCTGCTTTCACCAATCGTAGTTTAAGAGGCGAGTTTCAGGAGAGCCTGACGTAGCGCAAACATGACTTTTGAAAAGCACACGCAATGAATGAGGCTCATAGTGTTGTGTTAGCCCCTCTACCCAATAGAGCCGCAACCTTGAACTATCCGGTCGCCAAATTTAAAAACAACCAATCGAGGTTTCGATCACGATGTGCACGCAATTGTCCAGTCGGTGGAGCCCTACACATGACCTCGTGTTCATTGGGTTTTTTGTTCTTTCACTTGACCCCGTTATTTACACATTTAACCTACTGCTGCCACGGCGACAAGATTTCCACCCACTAGAACATCTGACGAATTCCAGCTCTTAAATCAATAAATCCGTCCGCACAATTTACCGATTTCTGTGAGGGCACCATTGCGTTGTCGCCAAGACCATGTCTGGATGATGACGAAGATGATGATGATGATGATGATGACGATGATGACAACGGCGACTCACGCATTGCATGCCCTGCGAATGAGCTCAGCTCGGCGTTTGGAGGAGGAGGTGGAGGGGGTTGTGGGAGGGTAGGCGAGCCCAACCAGTCCTGATTGAGTGTCCAGGGGTGCAGCATGGCGGGAAGAGGCAGCGGAATGGGCGGTAACGCCGTCTGTAGCATGCACAGGGGGAAGTTGTTCACGAGGCTGGCTGAATCACCGTTCATTGCTGAGACGCTGAATAAACACACTAATAATTCAGACGTGTGTACAAACGATGTGGGAGTGAGGGAATGGGAATACCGCACACAAGGGAACATCTGTTACGTTCCCTGCAACCACTGTGAGGCCACACTCAGCCTCGGGTCAATAGTTTTGAGGTAACACACATAATCCCCAACTTCTGTTCGCTTGTGCCATCTGCAACAACCTCACCACACTCCATGGAAGCTGACCTGTACTACAAAAGGATAGAGGGATGTCCCAAATGGGCTCTTAGTTTATCGATAGGTTGCCACAGCTGTGAAATCTATTGGGGAACGCACACAAGTGTCTGAGTGGATGGTCAGTTCCAACCAATCAACATCTGCCCAACCTATCATAAGTGGTTGGAGGTTTTTAGTAACAATAACAGCAGGAGCTTTTTAACGTGAATGCTCGGTTGTGGGAATCACCTGATAATTATAACAATTTGGTAAAAATAATTAAACAAGCACATAAAGAGAATTTAAAACTATAATAAATGATGAAGACGTGTTTGCTAAGTAAAAGCTTACTGGATTATAGTTCTCTGAGGCCGTAATGTCAAGCGACGACGGTCAGATCAACAGCGGGTAGGTGAAGTGAGCTGATGCACAAGCACACCGTCACAACAACCTCCTGACCAATCATGCGTGTGCAGGGGGCAGCGGTCACGCGCTAACGCGTCAGCTTTAATTGGCTCACGTGCGATGCACACGCACGCAGTAGCACGCGTGTAACGCACCAATCACCGGCTCTAGGGTGTCGCGACATTCAAGCAGCAGGCCAATCCTGGTGTGGTGCGCGCTTGGGCCACATGTTTTGGCTGTTTTTTTTTTAACAAAATAACCTAGGTAATGTACCTTTATTACGTAAAATCAATGAAAATTTTCCACACACCTACATTTTGTCGAAAAGTTTGCAGTGTACACACAAAACTTGCATTTCGTATGTGTATGGGGCAATATCACGAAATTTTAAATCAAGAAATTAGACGTTGAAGAGATTGATAACGGTGTAAGTTGGGACGTTCTCTAGGTGTCAGATCAAGGTCAGCCCACGTGGCCAACAGGCACCGCTGGAGACGAGCGATCTCATTGGCTCATCTCGAAGTGAGTTACAGGTTAGAAAGTTGGGACCAATCCAGGACAAGATTTGATGTCCTGTTGCAGGTATAATGGCATTCAAGAGCCAACACGCTATGACGACACCCAGGTACGCGCGAACCAATGAATGGCCTGGGAGGTGAATACGTTGTCGGATGAGAAGGTGACGCCTCGACTCCCTTGAGAGTTGTGACGCAGGTTTAGAGATTCGTAATATCGATTGGGGGATTTCGTGATGTAGTCCCTCTCTGGTGTGAATTGCAGTCCACATCGGGGTTGTAGGGTCAGCTGAGGGCTGCGCGATGGACGGATTTGCAGACGGAACGCAGCTACCAATTGAAGATCAGGAGATTTAGATTGCACGGTGTACAAGTGGATTCAACACTCCTACTGGCGTGTGTATGATGGCGGGTAGTTTCTGTTTCTACCTACGTCTCGTAATACAGTGGTACGAAGCTAATGTAATTGGCGGTAAATTTGCCTGCTCATTAAAACAAACGCGGAACCTCCCCGCCATAGAGTCAAAAATAATATAGGTGTCTCAGCACGTGTTTAGAGTAAATGAAGAAATTGTGCACACAAAAGAAGTGTCATGGTTCCCTGCTAAAATTTCCAAACTATTTTCTTAATTTGTTGTGAGAAAACCACAAGATTCGCCATTATTGGTCGCGCCGTCAAGTCTATCGATTTAAACAAAAATCGTTTTAATTACTTATGCATGCACGCTTTTAGTGCCTTATTCTGCCTTATCTTAAAAGTAGATTTAAAATTTGTCACGTGTTTTGTGGAAATTATGTCACATCTACGTTATATCTCTACGCAAGATTTAATTAATCGCGGCGCTGTCATGTATATTGCTTCTTTGTGATCGATTTAAACAAGAACCATTTTCTGGCTGCTACTGCAAGCATATTTTTTTTGTGTTTGAGTTTGCTTGGATTAACCTGGCTGAAAATCTTGATAACATTTAACGTTTGTCGTCTGCTTTTTTGTGAAAATTATGCCCCATCAACGATAACTCACTGGTGATTCGTACTCGGACACATTGAATAATCGATAAACTGGAGGCATTCAACAGAATGTGTTGTTGAATCTCGCTTGACTGTGAACGCAGTGGTATCTGATATCGGTACACAGTGACCAATCAACGCGTAAGACGTGTTCCGGATAATTCAGCACTGGGCTGTTATCGATCCGTTAGTAGGATTATCTCCCCATTCAAGACGTCCATGATTGAGCAATCCGTGTCGTGCAAATCTGACCACATCGATTTGAATTGACTTGTCTGGCGTTTTGGCAGTGATTGGACAGACAGAGGCAATTTCCCAAATTCGCATCTTTACTGGTTGACGACCCATTCCACGAGCACTTCGTCAGTTGGCTGACGCTTGAAGGGAACGGCAAGTCCACCATCACGTCACCACGCTATTGATCACACCTCCGACACACACATACACACACGCACGCACGCGCACAATCGCCTGAGTAAATCAAATAGCCACTCGCGTTCTTCACTTGGTATTAAACAAGGCGTCGACAGAGGGAGGGGCGTTGGTGAGTGGGGCGTGAACGGGGCCACATGTGTGTGTGCGTGCGTGTGTTTCTATTAAATCATCGCTTAGCCAACACACCTGTGTGCCATGACCCGCATTGAGGAGATGGCGACAACGTCAGCGACAAGTGCAAGAAGTTTCAATTACCCTCTCTCCTCTCTCTCTCTCCCTCTCGCGCTAATTTTGCGAGCGTGTGTTTGGTGAGGTGATTTAGTGCGTAATTACGGGCAGCTGGCGGGCAGTTCAGTGCACACGGAGACAAGAAGGCCACGATAGTGTGGTTGCGCTTGTCTGGCGTCGATGTTAATTTAAACAACTCACTTCCGGCGGGCGGTTCAGGAAAATCGGTGGTTGACCTTGAGATTCGAAGTCACGCCAACAGAAATTAGTTAAACAACGAGACAAATCGAAGTTATTATTCCATTGGTGTTAATGCAGGCAAGAGCTGTATCCATCGTCGAAGTGATTCAGAGGATCTTCAATATGTTCGACGACCTTGAAAGGCCATCTAACTTTCAAGGTCATGTAAATAGGTGGCGCGCGCTACTAGCCATTTAAAACTGTACACCAAAAGCGTTGTTATGCCAGTCTAGGTCATGCAAGGAATTACTATTTGTAAGTAACACGTTTCTCCTTAACCCTCATTTATTTTAGTGACCTTGGGCTCCATCGTAGTCCCAAGGTCATTTACAAAAATGTTAAAAAATAGCCATGCCTTCATTTCGTGGTTACAAATGTAAAGTTTTTATCTTCCATTGAAACAGAGTACCACAACTTCGTGAATCGGGAGGGTATTAATCGAAAACATGCGGAGGGCCGAAGGTCGGTGATAAAAAAACACGAAAATACGCCTGTTTACACAGGTCCTCTTTCATAGCTTGCTTGGTCTAATGTGAAAATGATCATGCTGCCGAAAATGGCGACGACTTTTGATTCGTTGGAATGGGTGTAGCCAACAGGCACTATCGTGATGCGTAGCTAAGTTGCCAAGGTAACCACTAAACTACAAAACGGTGCTCAAGTTGCGTTTAAAATTGACGCGGAGGCGACGCGGCATCAGCGAATTATTGACCAAGGCGGGAATGAGTCATGCCGCGTCGACAATCGAAAATGCTCTCGCAGTTGTCGGGGCAGGCTGTCTTATCGCTGACGCGCAAATATTTACCCGGCTGTCGAACCCCCGTCCCGTCCCCCACACACACCCCCCCCTTTCCGAACACACCGTCTTCCCTTGGGCCACCCCCACTTCGCTAGAATCGGACTTTGGTCAGGTTTACATTTTGCCGAATTGGTAAGTTGGTTTTTGGACGTATATATATATATATATAGATGGCTTATTTGTTCACGATTTCGACCAATTATCTTAAGAGAGGGGGGTGGGGGGTGGTGGAAGCTTCGGCCCCTGGACAAACACGATGGAGAGTGTAGCTCGGTGAATAGAGTTCACGATAACCGGAGAAGACGCTGCCAGGGGAACGGAAATTTCTTTGAGTTCTCGAAGGTCTTAAACATGCTGACAACAAATCACGTTCATTTGACTATAGATGTGATTGAATACCAGGCGACCAATCAGAAGCTAGATAACTACTCAAGTACCCCTCTGTGAACAAACAGAGCTCCCTGACAGGCCTGCTAGGGTGGCCTAGTAACCAAAGCAACCGGGCAGAGAGATATGCGGAGATAAGTGATGGCTTGAGCACACAAAAGCCGACCAATTTGCACTAGC